AGAAGAAGAAGAAGAAGAAGAAGAAGAAGAAGAAGAAGAAGAAGAAGAAGAAGAAGAAGAAGAAGAAGAAGAAGAAGAAGAAGAAGAAGAAGAAGAAGAAGAAGAAGAAGAAGAAAAAGCAGTGAGACCTCCCTTTACCACACAAATCTGCAATGGAGATATTTTTAAGCTCAAACTATGGTTCTAGTAGCAAACTTTGCTTCTGTCCTTTATTCAAGTACAAAAGAAACTCCCATATCACATATTCCATATTCCATATAATTATGCAGTTGAAGAGGTATCACTTATATAATTCTGTCAAAGGACATGACGTTAACCTGACATTGTCTGTTCTGGATGCAGATAGGGTGACTCTTTGTAATCATTGGGTCACTTCCTTGATGTTCACTGAACATCTTTATGTTGATCTGTTATCAAAATTTGTCAAAAATTGATATAAGGCTCCTTGCCCTTTATTTTGCAGACTATTTTTTTCTCTTTTTGAAATTTGGCTTTGAAATTATTTGAGGCGAATGGCTCCATAAGACATCAAGAAATAGTAAAACACAGTCAAAAAGTGGAAGGAGGAGAAAGCAGGAGCTTGGGCAATCAAGAAATGTCTAGAGACCTTTCTCTTCTTATTTCCAGGACACTGGGCTCTTCTGTCTCCTGCTACATATCTGGCTGCTTATTCTCAATCCCTATTGCTGGATCATCATACATCTCCTGCCCACTAAGGCCCTTTTCTTTCCACTCCCTTGGAGATCTCATGAACTGCCATCACACTCTCTGACCAGGTGATCTCAGCACCAATGGTTTCTAAGCACAAGACTCCAACAGCTAGATGACTAGAATTTATCACTTTTGAACTCCAGGCTCACATGGCCAACTGCTTATAAGTGGTTTCTCAACCTGGATGTCCAGTTGACATCACAAATATAACAGGTTCATCATGCAAGTAATATGTTTTTCCCTAAAACTACCCCATCCTCCAAACCTACCCACGTCTCTTGAAGGCATCCAAAAAGTAGACTTCTCTAGAAGGCATTTCCATTCACTTTGATAGCCATATACTTATATTTAACTTTTCATTCTTACTTTCTATACATATCCAATTGATTATGTTCAAGTTGGGTAGATTATATTTTCATGTCTCTGACATTTGTTCTGTCTTGTGTCTTCACTTGTACACTGACTGGATTAAGACCCTCATCCCCTCTTAATTAGAATATTCCAATAGGCTAGTGAGACAGGCACCCAAACCAGCTAACACAGCAAGTCACTCTGCAGGAAAGAGAAGATGGAATGTGGCAGACAAGTCAAACCACTCCTAAGTTCCCTTGGAAACTGATGGAGATAACCCAGAACTATGACTCAAGAGCATTTGTGATCAGTCCTTTCACGTCAGTGATTCCTATCCCTAGATCATTGGCTCTGCTTCCAACCTAGGCCTAACAGTTGTCCTTTCAATGAGAAGCAATGACTGTGATCAGTCTTATCGACCTTCCTCACCACCACCACTACCAATTATTAAACAACTGACCCTAACAAGCAGGGAAGCCCAAGATTCCTGGGAGTGATAGCCCAGCCCTGCAGACCACTGTTCCTACTTCCATCCCAGACTCCCACAACATCGGCCCTGGAAGCAATCCTCTTGAAACTTCTTCTGTAGGTGCTGAAGCCACAGCTACTGAAGACTAGAAAAGAAAAATCTGACCGTCAAGTCCTGGGCGCTATCCAATGGTTCTGTATCAGAAAAGATATGATATTTATCAGTGGAATTGACATTAAATGTTCTGCATTACTATCAGTTTTTTTTTTAATTTGCCCTAAGGTGGACCTGCACAACTTGTGGCCTGTGGGCTATAAGACAAAGGATTTTGGGTGGCCCAAAAAATATAGAGTATGTTTTCCTCTACATTTTTGTGGGCCACCCAAAATCCTTTCATGGGTCACAGGTTGTGCAGGCATGCCCCAAGGACCACAAGGATTTTCTGACTGACATGCAGCAGAAACCTCTTACTCTGTGCTATCTCTACAATATTGAGCACATAGTAAGTATTTAATAAATGATATTTTCATACATTCTTTCAATGACCTCCAAATTCAATCCCCTGCTTCTAGTATTTCTCCTTTTCATTGAACAACTTAATATTCTTGTGGCATAGTTCTGCCCATGCCATTTCTCAAAAGTCTGCAGAAGTCTACTGCCTCTGTGACATGGTACTTAAATGCTTCCACAGCTGGCTCCAACCTAATTGTCCAGATTTATTTTGTATTACCCCTCATCCCAAACTTCACATTCTTGCCAAACTCCCTTGCTGGCTATATTATTTCCCAAATCTTTGCCTTTGCCTAGATTGTCTCCCATGCCTGGAATTCATTCCCCCTTCTCTTCCAATGAGAATCTGTTACTCCCTTCAAGGTCCAGCTCAGGGGTTCTCTCCTACTTGAAATTTTTTCAGGTCCCCCAATTACTAGTGCATTTTCTGTCCTCTAATTACCTTCTGTTAACTTATCTATGAATTTCTTGTATCCTTCTAGTAGAATGTAAACTGGAGGAAAGGAACTATTTCCTTTCAAAGAGAGATTGTTTCATTCACATTATGTTTCTCTCCTTTGTCTGGCAAAGTGCCTGGCACATAGTAGGTACTGAAGAAGATCTCGTTAATTGATTGATTTATTCTAACCTTTGTATCACGAGAGCCTAGTATGATGCATTACAAAGGGTAAAGATTTGGTCCTGTTGTTGAATTTCTTCTTCTGCTACCAAAGTTTTGACAAAATAGTTAATGTATTCCTGACATCAGTGCTAATGCAGACGTTATTCATAGAGCCCTTGACTCATACCATCCATGACCTAGGACTCTAAATCACCATGAGTCCTGATTCAATTATTCATTTGAAGCCTTTGTGTCTCCCTCCACAAACCAAGCAGCTAGAATCCTAACCCCAAATCCAGTCCCTTTACCTGTGAGAATGATGCAGTGATGTTCTTGAAATCCAATTGCAGGAGGTTGCCAATAAAAGGAAGAGGAATGGGACCTGGTGGGAGTTTCCCCTTTTTGAATCCTTGGCTCCATAGAATCAAGAAGATCAGAAAAAGGACACAAACCAGGAGGGTAGTCGTGGTGAGTCCCCAAGGATCCATTGCCCTGAGAGACAGGCTTACAGCCTTCAGGTGTAACAATTTGTTTGTCATACTTTTATATTTATTGGTAGAAAACAAGGGGCGGCAATGGCCAGCCAATAAACATATAGTCCTTGTAGGCAAACAGGATTAGTTGTTCATTGACTTTGATAACTTTAGCAAACAAGAGATAATTAAGGATATTTTTACTGATTTGTTGCTTTGGAATCTGTGCCTGACTCTAACCTGGCACGAAAGTGCACAGGAAAGTAGGGGTAGGGAAGTATTTTGTCCAGCTGACCTTGTTGGGGGCCCTGGGCTGTCAACAATCAAATTTCTGTTGGCCTATGGGAGTGTGTTGAGCTAAGGAGAGCAAATATCCAAATTCAACCTGAGAGGAGGTGGTTATAGAGTCCAAATTCTAAGATCTTGCAGACTTGACATCATATTTAAGAGATTAGCTGCTGTCTTATCTCCTAAGCTACATTGAGCTTAATTGCCTTCTTAATCATGCTTGTTTTTTCTTCACTTTGAAGAACATTCTTCTTGAGAGAGAACATTGAGGCTGAGCCAAGATGATGGAGTAAAAGCAGTGACTTGCTTGAACTCTCCCCCAAACCCCTCCAAATGCCTGTAAAAATGGCTCTAAACACATTCTAAAGCAGTAGAACCCACAAAAAGACAGAGTGAAACAAATTTCCAGCCCAGGACAACCTGGATGGTTGATCAGAAAGGTATATTGTGCCATGCTGCCAGAAGAATGTAGTTCAGCATGGGCATGCAGTCCTCAGTGAATCTGGAGCAGACCTCAGAGGACTCAATCACAGGTAGCTGTGGTGGTTTCCAGACCTCTCAACCCATGAATGCCAAAGACAACTTAGAAGGTCAGGAGGAAAAGTCTGTGTCTGCAATGAGAGAGAAGTGCAGTGCAGTCCCAGCCCCAGTCCCAGAGCATGGCCCTAGGTTGGTGGTTGGCCCTGGAGCTTCTGGCCCACAGACTGAGAGGGAATTGAGTGGCTGATCAGATAAGGATTGCAGGAATCTCTTTGCTGGTGCAGGATTCTCTTGTTTTCCTCGTCCTTGGATCCAGGTCGCAGTTCTGGGTGGCAGTCCTGGGGTGAGGAAGAGCGCTGGCATGGTGGAGCTTGTAATGGTGGTGGAGAGGAAATTCTCTTCACAGTTCCAAGTCAGGAAAGGGTGCTTGTGGTCACTCATAGACCAGAGCACAGGCCAGGAAAGGAGTAAATACCTCACCCTTGATCATAGTACCTTGGAAGAACTAAAAATTTGCAAGTCCCTAGAAGTATCTCTGAAAACAGCTACACAAAACCCCTGAAGCTTGGGACAGTACATTCTCCACACTGGAAGCAGACTCCTACCTTAACAAAGAGTTTATAACTCAAGTAATTGGCTGGGATCATGAGCAAACAGCACAAAAAGAGTCAGACCATAGAATCTTACTTTGGTGACAAAGAAGATCAAAACATACAACCAAAAGAAGGCAACAAAGTCAAAGCTCCTACATCCAAAGCCTCCAAGAAAGATATGAATTGGTCCCAGGCCATGGAAGAGCTCAAAAAGGATTTTGAGAAGTGAGTAAGAGAAGTAGAGGAAAAACTGAGAGTGATGCAAGAAAATCAAGAAAACAACAAGTCTGTTGACTTGCTAAAGGAGACCCCCCCAAAAAAACCTGAAGGAAATAACACCTTAAAAAATAACCTAACCCAAATGGCAAAAGAGGTCCAAAAAGCCAATGAGGAGAAGAATGCCTCAAAAAGCAAAATTGGCCAGATGGAAAAGTAAGTCCACAAGCTTACTGGAGAAAATACTTCCTTAAAAATTAGAATGGAGCAATTGGAAGCTAGTGACTTAATGAGAAATCAAGACTCTGTAAAACAAATTCAAAAGAATGAAAAAAATAGAAAACAATGTGAAATATTTCATTGGAAAAACAACTGACTTGGAAAATAGATCCAAGAGAGAGAATTTAAAAATTATCAGACTATCTGAAAACCATGATCAAAAAAAGAGCCTAGACATCATCTTTCAAGAAATTATCAAGGAAAACTGCCCTGATATTTTAGAACCAGAGGGCAAAATAGAAATGGAAAGAATCCATCAATCACCCCCTGAAAAAGATCCCCAAAGGAAAATGCCTAGGAATGTTGTAGCCAAATTCCAGAGTTCCCAGGTCAAAAAAAAATGTCGCAAGCAGCCAGAAAGAAACAATTCAAATATTGTGGAAACACAATCAGAATAACTTAAGATTTAGCAGCTTCTACATTAAGGGACCGCAGGCCTTGGAATATAATATTCTGGAGGGCAAATGAAATAGGATTACAACAAAGAATCACCTACCCAGCAAAACTGAGCCTAATCCTTCAGGGGAAAAAAAGTTCATTCAGTGAAATAGAGGACTTTCAAGCATTCTTGATGAAAACACCAGAGCTGAATAGAAAATTTGATTTTCAGATGCAAGACTCAAGAGAAGCATGAAGAGGCAAACAGGAAAGAGAAATCATGAGAGACTTATTAAGGTTGAACTGTTTACATTCTGTACGGAAAGATGATATTTGTAACTCATGAGTCCTTTGTCAGTATGAGAGTAGTTGGAGGGGAAATAATTACATATATGTATAGATAGATAGATAGATAGATAGATAGATAGATAGATAGATAGAGGGCACAGAGTGAGTTGAAGATGAAGGGGTGATATCTGGAGAATAAAATTAAGGGGTGAGAGAGGATTATACAGAGAGAAGGAGAAAGAAAGAGGAAGAATGGGGTAAATTATCTCACATAAAACAGACAAGAAAAGGCTTTTACAGTGGAGGGGAAACAGGGGAAAATGGGAGGGAATGAATGAATCTTATTCTCATAGAATTTGACTTAAGGAGGGAATAACATACACACTCAATTGGGCATGGAAATCTGTCTTACCCTACAGGAAAATAGGGAGGGAAGGGGACTAGAGAACAGGAGGATGATAGAGGGGAGGGTAGATTGGGGGAGGGGTAATCAGAAGCAAACACATCTAAGGAAGGACAGGGTCAAAAGAGAGAATAGAATAAATGGGGGGGGAATAGGAGGAAGGTAAATATACTTAGTTTTTCACAACAACAACAAAAATGAGTCAGCACTTTATAGCAGCAGAGGCAAAGGTTGTATCCTCTGATAACATCTGATCTTTTCCTGCAATTTCAATTCTCTATTTGTTAAAGTGCAGAATATATAGAAAAGCCATCCAGAAATATTGTCATCAAAAACACTTGCTAAAAAATATTTAATGGTCAATAAGAAAAAAAAAAGTAACGGATAACAATAATGTATTGAACATATTTTAAAACTTTGGTTTAAGGGGTTGATTTAATACACTTGAATATACAAAAAGAGGTAATAAATGACTTGAAGAGAGAGAGAGCATGGCAGCAAAATAGGCGTTAACATGCCCTGCCTTCTTTCTGTCCTCTTTGAGTAGTGGCCTACTTGCTCTTGGGGCCCTCCCCACTGTCTATCCCTTTCTTCTTCTTGCCTGAACCCTTGGTGTCCCTAAAATTTTATATCCTTGATTGTCTTCTGAGCTTTAGCCTTCCTGACTATGATCTTTCAGGTTGGTGACTTTTCCTGTTTCAGTCCTTGATGATCCTCACCCTCTGACCATCTTTGACATATGCCCTCATCTAGTAATGGCACCTCAAGTAGACCATGAACCCATCTCTCTCACAGACCTCCATGGATCACCTGCCTGATTCTAGCTTGGAGAACAACCACAGATCTTACATTGAGACTGTAGCCATAGGTAGTTTTATTCCTTCTCGTCTTCCACCTTTGTTTGATATGGAATACAGTTCTCTGTTCATACTAACCTGTGTTTCCATGTCAGGTACAAGACTCTGAGCATCACATCAGAATGTATGCCTTGCCCCATGTTTGACTTGCCCACAAATCTTTAAAGTTTCAAAGATAACCTAATGTGCCATCAATGGTCAGCACATGGAGAACACTTGAAGAGAACTGTACATACCTGGGTAGGTAAGGCCTCAGCTACTCACCATTCACTTATTTCCCCCTCCTCCATTCACAGCAAGTCCATCACCTGCAAAGTTTGAATAAAGGTGCTATTCCACCAAAACTTCTTGTTTTGTTACATCAAGAAAGAAAGAAAACAAAAAGTTAAAGAAAAAAGATTCTCTCCCAAGGGTGTGCTAGAGCCAGCTAAGTCCACCTGAAGAGAGCTGGTTGTTAAATTCTAAGTGTGACCATTTATACCTTGGGCATCCGAGAAATACCACAAATCAGGGCTTGATTTATTATTTCTACACTTAAAAGAAGCAATGAGGAAAATGTTAATAGTGCAGGTTCAACTTAAAAGTGTGACAGGTATGTTATTTTTTTTGTGGCAAGCTGGCTGTTAAACATTTACCAGGTCACCCCTGCACTCTGGCCCTGTGGAGGCAGAGTACTTACACAAGAACTGCCTCTCCTACAAAAGTAAGACTGGCTTACCTTTTCCATCGTTAGAGGGAGTTCCTTCATAGATACAATCACAGAAACTTTGATTTATCTAATAATAATAAAAATAATTATAATATTTATATGACCCTTTCTATGTCCCCGGCACTGTGCTAAAAGCTATTTAAGTATTATCTCACTTAATCCTCACAACAACCTGAGTGTGTAGGTGCTATTTTTATCCCTATTTGACTTATGTGGAAACTGAAGCAAATGGTGGTTAAGTGATTTGAGAATAATAGCAGAAATACCATCCTGGTTCTACCCCCTGTTACCATTCTGACCTTGGTCCCTAGACCTCATTTTTCTTCTGTGGTTACTGAGAGTGTTGGACTAAAAGACCTAGTTCTTTATTCGTGAACCCTTGCGAAACTGTGATTCCCCCACCCCTTACCAAATCGTCCCCACCCAGTTTAAAAATTAGGAAATTTGAGCACAGAGATCTTAAGGAATTTGTACAAGGCCATCCACCCAATGAGTGGCAGGAAGAGTTGGGATCCTGCCTGAACTATGGACTTACCTAAACTGAGA